GGAACATTAAGTGCATAACAATCTTTTCTAAAATCTTTTTCTTATTTTGAGTGTTGTATTGCAATAATAAGTAGCATGACTCCTGAACAAAACCCTGCTCAGTCGGTAGTCATTAGTTCAGGCAATTCTTGACTAGCTGTTAAACTTTTAAAAAATGTATTAATTTAAAGGTTTTTGTTTGTTTGTTTTTAGTGCATAATAAAGCACCTTGAGCTCCAAGCGAATACATGTTATAAGTAACAGAGGTAAACCTGAGTAAACACAAAAGAACACCATTTGTCGTTTGGGGGTTTGGACACCAGGAATGCCAATGCATCTTTGGGTCACCTTCTGCTGTTTTAAATAAATGTAAATAAAAGTGACTTGACCTTTAGAATACAAATTGTATTTTTTGTACGCACAAACAAGCTGCCTCTCAACGACACCAACAAAAGCGGCAATCATTCTGAATGTTTCGCATCTACCAGGAAGGACTCACATTAGAGTGAGTCCCCACACTAAGTGGCTACCGTTAGGCAACATCCGTGGTTAATAATAAGTGGGGAAAATGCTCACCTTCAGAGATTGCGTGTCACCTTCTTGAGGTCGTTTCCTACTCTCTAACCTCTAATGTGGAAGTCCGGATCCATAAGCTTAGAAAGAGACCAAATTAGTATTGAGCAGAATTGAGTTCAGCTTATTAGTGCGGCTTTCCACAACATGACAACCTGTGCCCACCCACCAGGGGCCACAGGTTGTCATGTGGCCCCATGGGGAAATATATCGCCCACCCCTGCTCTAACCCTTTAGATTTCCTGCCCAACGTGTGTCATTACTATCATCATATCAATAATTGAGTGCTTCATATGAATGGGTTTTTTAATTGTTACTGTGGTTTTGGCTGATTTCCTGTCCGTATTGACTAATATCAGTATTTGTCTTCATTGAGCAAAAGCACACCAGGACAGACTGGACAGTGCAGCCACAAATTAAAGGTAAAAAGGACAGCAAGTTTCTAATATGCAGGCAGTCTGTTGTACTGAACTGTAGCCAACTTGAAGTAGTCAGTACCAAAGATAGATAACAAGTTACAGTTGCCAGGCTTTCTAATGAAATCTAAATTTAATATTTTATGCTGTTATGTCTTGCTCTAATGGATTGTTTATTCATTAAGTGCATTTTTTTAATTGTATTTTTTTTTACCTATTTGATGATGACAAGATCAAATCTGAGTCTCAGCAGGTAAAAATAACAGATTTCCTTGTGTGATTGGCACAGCATGATAGCTTTCACGGGACACGAGCAGACAAATGAAGTGTGAGATCAAAAAATCTCAAGAAACACATCAGAAAATCACTGAAAATGATGGATTTATAATAAATTCATTAACTCCATTGTGGCTGAAAGACCCAGTAAAGAAAGGAAACTTTTTATGAATAAACAGCAGTGTAAGTAAACTATAACTATCAACTAAAAGGAAATCAACCTCCCATACACACAAAGCATTAATTTTCTTTTTTTTTTCCTGTGCAAATCTTTTGTGTAATATAAAGCTGACACATTGGGGGCAAACAGGACATGTAACCCTTACAGCTGCAGTGCCCTTTACTTGCTTGTAGAGGTGGAGGGTTCAGGATCCCAGACAGCAGAAGAGTTAACATAAACAAAGGCTTATTGACGACAGATTAGCTGGATAACACATTTACCACTCACTACTAGCAGACAGACAGGATTATATAGAGTATTATGGGATTATGGTTATGGTAAAAATAAATAAATAAATTAGAGACCAGCGTTGTAATACTAAAATACCTTGAAACAATAACATGTGATTGGGAGTTCATTCTGTAAAATATACATTACATCGCTTAATGCAAATGCTTTCACTTTTTACCACTGACACATCTTTTAAAAGACCTTTGGTTGTATTTTAGAGTGCACCCCACAAATTGTTATGAAAATATTTGGAATATATGAGGTTCTAGCAAATTTTACTATAGGTGTCTGCAGTTAGAAGCTAAGATGCATCAAAACACAGAGTAAAGTCTTCTCCAGTACATCCCAAAGACTTTTAATGGGATTAAGATCTGGATTCTGGGTGGCCAGACCATGATGATTCATGCTCCTAAAGCACTCTTTTGCAATTTGAGACTAATGAATTCAGCTATTGTCATCTTGGATCATGCAGAAGCCATCAGGAGAGCAAAAATCCACTGATGGACACACCTGTAGAATCGGTATTCAGAGTCAGCCAACTTACTTTTTGAGCATATATTGTTGCTGAAGCTAGACTGGAACAGGAAAAATCTGGACTCCTCAGACCACATCACCTTTTCCCGCTGCACCCTATCAAATTCGGCTGACTGTGACAAAGTGGGTGAGAACACCATTTGTCCATATTCTTAGTTAACATTCTTGTTTTGATTTAACCATATTTCACATGTAATCTGCAATAGGCAAACATGTTTATGTTTTGCACTTTTACAGATTATATAATATAACATCTTGGTTTAAATCAATTTCTACGAGTTTGTTAAGTTGTTATTTACTTCAACTGTTAATTTGTATTGTTTAAACTTACCTACCTGTCTTCCAGAAACAAAAGGAGGAAATGTAGTTTTACTTCCTGCTTTACAGCTTCTGGGTTAATCTGAGGTCACAGGAAGAGACCAAGTGCAGAAGGGGAAGAATTCTTGTAATTTCATAAAGTTGATTTTAGAGTGTTTATGGAGAAATAGACTTATTGTTGTAATATGTATTGATTACACCATAGAGTTTATGTTGCAAGTAAAGAGTAGTAGTGGAGGTTTGAATATCATTATGTTCATCTTACCTACTGAATGGAATAGTCCAGAGGAGAAATCGTTTGGTTAAGTGGACTATTTAAGCAGAACTCAGGTGTTTGAGGAGAGAGGACCAGGTCAGTGTAGCTGTGTGCAGTTTGACCTTAATTTCCCTTGATTTAAGTTCAGTTATGTTTATTTGAACTGAGTTAATTATAGAGTTGAGTTTCTTATTTGTTTCTTTGTAAATATTGTTTGGGTCACAAAATGGTGAATAAATCACTTGCCACACTGGACAGCATCAGTCTCCTGCACTTCTTTGACTGCTTAAGTCAAGTCCTACCACACTGACTGATAAGTGGTTTTCTTAAGGCAACACAGCTGTTAAGGTCCAATCCCTTGGTATGTTTTCCAACATGATTCTTGTTTACCGCATCACTTAGGGTTAAATGATCTGTAGCTAGCCAACTTATTCATCTCGAATCCAAGTGGTGATTTCTATTTTTTTATTTTTTGGCCATGCAGTTTAGTTTACATTAAATCAATGAAATGACTTGAATACCTTGTACTAAAGCAGGAATATGATGAATTAATATAAATCATTCATTCTGTCTGAAGTTAACCAAGCCTTCTGCCCGGCCGTAACGATTTTGTATTACAGTATTGTGTAATTTCTTTATATATCATTACAAGTTTGTCACAAATGCCACTTTAATTATGTATGCTCAAGTATTGTATGTGATTTTGAGTGCTGGATTTTTTTATTTATTTTTATAATCAGGAAGGCATTGATTCATTTTGATGATAAGAAAGATAGCTGAAATGTTCAGGCTTTAACACGTTTTTGAGATATTCACATTCACTCTCCGATTTCAACGCGCAGAGGAAGGCTTGAATCTTTAAAATAATTTGATGTGAATCTAAAATTCCACAGCAATCTTTATAAATGTTAACATTTATCAACATTACATTTTTATGCAAATCTGAGACAGTTAAGCAGGAAATGTTCTCGAAACTGTCTCATCTGAGATGGGATAAGATGTTAAGTTGCTGTTTAAAAATACATTAGTGTTTTCTATGTTTTTCACAAATGCATATAGTGTAGCTTTCTATCATAGCTGTGCAAACACTGTACTTTGTGTTATTTGTTCAAACGGGGGGGTGTGCAGACATTACCTGACGGACAGCCATACCTCACGCTCCAGTTTTGTTATGTTAATTTCACGTTTCTTATTGGCTAAGTCGATCAAATGTATCGACAATTAAAACCACCAGATGTATAGAAGTATTGAGGGCAGTGGATGCTGTGACATCCTTATGCATTTATTTGCAAGCAGCATATTAAATGTTGCAGGAAGCTGGTGGCATTTAAAATTCTACTTAGTCCCCAGCAGGCACTCAAATAGTGGGACATTTCCCTTTTTAATGGCTTGTTAGAGAGTATGCAGCTATCTGTGCTCCCGAGAAGAGTTGCCACTGCTAACAAGCAATTGTTAGAACATTTTTCACCAAAATGTGACAAGCACCTGGTGAACAAAAAAAAAAAAAGATAACGTCTGGAAAGCACAAGAATGCAACAAGCCCTTGTTAACACAGAGGAATTGGACACAATTTGATAAAGTGAAGTAAAACTGACAAACTTCCTTTAAGTTATTGCAGATTTCTCTTGTTAATTTAGATTTAAACTGTAAAAGGATGGCACTCGTTTCGAGAGGATTACCTCTTACAAAAGGCCTAACATCCAGCTAGATGACACGCTTACCTTTTTTATACATACTAATGGGCTCCTGAAGGCTTTTATGTTTGTTTAAGAGCCGTCATACTTTTAAGATTAGAAAGATTAGCCCTATTCGTTATTATTTATGTGCACACAGTCTGTCAGGTTGCTTTGCAGTTTTTAAACTGTACAGCTGCCAGAACATGTTACTGTGTACCAGTACAATTCACTGCTCCTAAAGACCAAACAATATTTTTCTTTTATTCCAAGAGCTCCACTGGATAAATGGTTTTCTCCCTACCTTGACCACAACCTCTGGCAGAAGAGGTGCTGTATCTCAGTAGGATCAGCATAAATGCATAAAAAGAAAACAATTCTGCAGAGACATGCACTAAATGGACAAAAGGTATTGGGCCACATGTCCTAATTCTTGAATTCATGTGCTTTCAGTCTCATGGCAACAGGTTTATAAAAATCATCTAGCCATGCAGTCTGTCTTTACGAACATTTGTGTAGTAATGGTTTGTTCCTAAGTGCTACTAGATATTCCATAATCAACTGTAAGTGGTATTATTGCAAATTAGAGGCATTTAGGAATTACAGTAAGTCACCCACAAAGTGAGGGTCCATGTAAAGTGTGGGGGTCACTGAGTGCTGAGGTGCATAATGCATAAAAGTCACGAGTGCTCTGCTGACTCAATAACTGCATCGCTCATGTCCTTTGGCATTAACATCATACAAAAACTTTATAGCATGGGTTTCCACAGACAAACAGTTCCAGTATTGGAAATCCCAAGTTCCCAGTATCCATGCCCAATGCTCTGTATATATGCACTGTATATAAAAGATGAACACTGCTTCTTGGTGTGATGAGTGTGCTAATGTGCTAATGTGTAAGAAACCCCTGGCTCCAAGAAATCTATGAGGAAAAAATGGCTCCACTTCTTAATTTATTTAATACTGTAACAGCCTCAAATCTTGTTGAACATAGCATCATTTTAATTTAGTAAATTATACTCCAATTTATAGTAAAATTGACCATAAAGCAGGGTACGCTTTAGGGTATGGCTACCTTGTGTGAAGTCTCTACCTACTGAGTGGACATAGATTCACAGACAAATCCACCGCTGGCATGTCGGTCCTGGTCCAAGACGAGGGTTTGGAAGCAAAAATTTGATGATTTAAAATGTCAAAAAAACCCCAAAAACAACGTGTAATATATCCACTCCTTATGCTAGGGCACAGATGCAGTGATATTGTCTAAAGTCACATATCTCTGCATGCTACCAATTTAATAGACAGTTTGCCTGGCATCTTTACCCCCATTAAAAATTTATATTTTGTATTTATATCGTGAGCAGATCTTGGTGCATATCTGTGTCAGTTCACACAGATAATGATGCTATGGTGTCACAGCAGAAGTATTCCTCTGCCACTTTTAGCAATGCAGAGTCTCCCTCCATTATCAGTTTTTCTGCCTACACAAAAAAGCAACACAAGTGCTGTTTTCAGTTCTTATTAGCTCATATCTTGCGCTGCCTGCTGAACAACACTCCTTCAGAGTACAACAACAGTGTCTCTCCCTCCCAATTGGACAATTGTTTCCATGGACAGTTCTCTATTTTCTAGTTTGTGTGCGTGTGTTTTGTTTTTGTTTTAACAAGAAGCTGCAAGAAATCTTGCTCTCCCCTCCTTTTCTACAGAAATGTAAAAGGATACCCGGGCATTCATAGTTCATTATTCCTGAGCAAGCCACTCACCCCAGTTTAGACTTTTAATCACTATATTCTTATAGTAATTACTCAAACAATCCAAAACCTCATGCACATTCACTGGCAGGAAGCAAAAGCAGTACCTCTTGTGCCGCTTTGAATTGTGTTAATCTAAAACAATAAAGCGTCCCACAACAACAAAAAAAAAATCTTTAAAGGCTGAGATGCAAACATATGCTTAAATGTGGTCCTACACTAACTAGACTTGAATTTTCTCCAATTTTCCCCCTCAGTTTTCTCTAGCTATCTGAACTGACGGGATAATTTGGTGCATATATTAGCACTTCATTATGATCCAAATTAGCCGAGTGAGTCACACAGTGGTCACACTGAATAGAAATTAAAATGTGACTCATAAAGTTACTTTAAGGAAAAGAGTGTTAAAAATGAAAAAAAAAAAAGTATTTTACTCCATGTTAAAGATAGCAAAACTATTTAAAAGTGTTTATAGCATCAATGAATTTAAGGGTGAAATAAATATTTGAAACTTCTTATCTACTCTCTCAGAACCAAACACTCTTGTAACCTAACAAGATTCTCAACTACTCAGCGTAAACCACTGGTGCCATGTGTGTTTGTGTGTTGTGCACCTTCAGGATTTCAGGGGGTTAATCAGATCAATCAAAAAGAGCTGTATTAAGCTTGCAGTAGAAATATCAAAAGAGGCTATGGGTTTGATTGAGGTCTCTTTCTGAGAGCAACAGTGGGTTACAGATGTGACCTGTTGGTCTCATGATCTTGTGCCTGCTTGTTGCAATGGTTTTTGAGGGCTCCAGCAAGCCGTGACCTCCAGCTTGCACTGGGGTGGTTTGCAGCTGAGATGAGAATTAGCACTTCCAAGTCAGAGGCCATGGATCTCAGCCAGAAAAAGGTGGAGTCCCCCCTCTGGGTTGATTGAGTTGCTGGCCCGAGTGGAAGAGTAGTACCTTGGGGTGTTGTTCACATGGGAGTAAAGAAGGTTGTGGGAGACTGATAACAGATTGGTGCGACGTCTGTAGCAGTGCTGTACTGGAAGGAACTGAATGTGAAGCGAAGTTATCCATTTACTGGTTGACCTATATGTTCCTTTCCACACCAATGAATGACAGCTCTGGGTAGTGACCAATATAATACAGACACAACCGGTGAAAACGAGGTTCTTCCTGGGTCTCCCTTGGAGGTAGGGTGAGAAGCTCAGTCATTCACGAGGACTCAAACCAATAGTAGGCAGCTGAGGTGGTCCAGACATCTGATTAAGATGCTTCCTGAGCACCTCCTTAGTGTGTGTGTTTTTTGGGAATCCTACTGGCAGGAATCCCCAAGGCAGAGCCGGGAGACATGATTATGCAAACTCCTCGTTGTCGTTTCAGTCAAAATGGAGTAGGTGGCAAAGGAGAGGGACATCTAGACATCTCTGCTTGGACTGCTTGAAACCCTGCAACCCAGAAAATGTATCTATGAAACAATGTATTTTACTGTGCTGTTAGTCATTGGGCATTTTGTCAGTGTAAAAGAAGAAGAGCGGGTTTTGTACAATGTGACTGATACATGAAATCTAAATTTTACCATTTAGACCTTAAAAAGCCTTTTCAGCATTTCTGACTGATAATAATCAGTACTGGTTATTAAATGCAATCAGCAAAGCTTATGTATTAACAAATAAGATCAAAGTTTCCCATCCTAACTGTTGCAACAAAATGAACACAACTGCAAAAAAGATGGCCATCAAGCCAGTTACAGTCCTGAGAAGATGCAGTGTCAATGAGCACATCTGGTCATGGGTGGTGGATTTCTTTCCTTCTGGACTTTCCTTGTAAAATAGAAGTTATGTTTAGTGTCTCTCACCAACATGTGGTGAGTATTCTTGAGCTCAAGCAGATGTGTAAAGTGCACCATGAGGGCATCATCAAACAAGTGGAAAGCCAATTCGAATGTTTACATACATGTTTAAGATCCACAGATATCTGGGACAGGTTATTCCCCAGTGACGATTCTTAGTGTTTGAAGTTGCTCTAATGAGCTCAAATGACCAACAACAACTAACTGACAACAAATAACTTGTTCATCACTTGTTGCATACAACTTGATGGTGACATTGTTTAGCGACTGCATCTCTTTATAGAATAAAGTTTAACTCCTGCTTTGTGTTTTCCAGGAACATGATTCGCTGTGAGGGGCTCAAGGAGACGAGAACCTGAGAGGGAACTGCTTCAATGGCGTGGACTGAGCCTCGGTCTCATCAAGACCCACAGCCAAAACCGAAACTGAAACTTTACCATCTCAGAACTCACTCTGCTTCTTTATCAGCTCTCTTTTTCCTCATGATTGCTGCCTTTGCTGGCATCTGTACAGCTGCTCCACCGCGGCCAGCCTTCCCCCCTCTCCTGTCTGGACAGCCTTTTATTATCTTCTGGGGTATCCCTGATTCTTCCTGCTCTGGTCGGCCAGATCCCGGCTCTTTCGGGATGGAACGGGACAGCCGTGTAGCTGTCTTTTATGAAGATACATTGGGGAACTACCCTTACTTTGTAGATATAGACACACCAATAAATGGGGGACTACCACAGCACACACGGCTGGAAACTCACCTCCAGAAGATGAAGCAGGACTTAGAGGAAGCTCTACCTGCCCCAAGGTACCTTGGTCTGGGGGTACTGCGTTGGGGGGAGTGGGTCCCTCAGTGGTCGCGGAGTCGAGAGAAGCAAGCGTTATATGTGGAGGCATCAAAGAAACTGCTCAAGGGTTTTTTTCCTAACTGGACCCCTGCAGAAGTGGAGAAGTGGTCAAAGGTAAGGAAAGTCCAAGGTGGTAGAAATAAAGAGCCACTATGGCAAGAAGAAAAGATGGTGAAAAGGTAAAAATGCTAAGATGAGTTCATTTTAAAGTTCAGGGCAAACTGGGAAGAAACCAACTTTGTTTTAAGAAAAAATGTTTGATGAAAAATTCAAGAAATACTGCTACTAAAAGCTCCACTATGGTCTATTTTGCTTTTGGTTATCACACCAAAGTTGCATCATTAAGCAGGCAAGATTTTAAAGTAACAGTGTAATAAACTATAAAGAGAAAGACGATGAGGAAATGTGAGGAAGGAAAATGTAGAAGAAAGTCAGACTGAAAATTTGGTACTTATCTCGTGAGTGTATTTTATGTGATGACTCACTTGGACAAAGTGATCCTTGGCATCATTTTGTAGCAGAGAGATTATCATTTAAACCTCAGCGTGGCCTTAGAAAATACACAACTTGCATTAATTTAGACAATTTGTGTGAACATCAATATGTGTAAATAAGATATTTTAACCACATATTCACACTTAGCAACTCTAAGCAGTTGTATTTATGTAATAAAACTGCTAAAGAGATTTCAGATGTATTTTGTGTACTATCAAGGCCAGCATGGTAAGAGGCATTTTAGTAAAGGCAGAGAATATTGCTAATAAAATGTCAATCAAATTATAGTATCAACTATTTGTAGTAAACTCTTAATAAATTATTTTAAGGTAATGTATTTAAAAAATATATATTGATTTTGATCTGTTGTAGGTCTCTTCCTGTAACATTATAGTTCTACTGGGTAAACAGTGGCTGGTAACTGCAGCACAACCAAAACTACAATGTACCGTACATACAAAGAAATTCATATTAAACAGAAATTTACATTAACTACTTGCATTCAGTCCAGACAGAACCTCATAGATTTGAAACAGAAATTCAGAAATTCATAGTTGCTGCAGGAAAGTAATTTAAATTGCAAAATGACAGAGGCGCTCAGTGACCAAGCTTTTACACAGGAATATAAGCAACCAGCTGTGTCGAATCCCCTATTGCAAAGAAATGTGTCACAGATGAGTTGTGTTTATCAGTGCATTCCCATATGGAAAAGATATATATAAATCTTATAAAGTTTTTATCTGTCTTGTATGAAACTTGTATGAAAAGCATACAAGAGTGAAAACACATAAGATCCCTTGAAAAATTATATAATGAAACTTGTATGTTTTGTATACTTACTAAAAAAATATATGAAAGTAATGAGAAAGTGGCCACTTTCATGAGTAAATCATATATGCTTTTGCTATTTCTTTTCCATATGGGTTGGCTTCTTCTGGGGAGGCTAGTCTATCAACTGTAGTGTTCCATTGTGTGCTTTTCTATCCATCCAAGCTTTTACTGTATTGGCAGTGTGTTTGGAATCATTATCACACTCAAAAATAAACCTGGTGCCAATTAGATGCTGTCTAGATGATACTGTGTGGCTAAAAAAATCCAAACCCCAAATCCTCAAATGTGTTAAGGACACACTGCACACAAGGCTAACATATACCAAGTTTTATTCCAATAACAGTTTAGGAATCACCTTGCTGGTGCAAAAGTACAACTTCATGTCTCTCAAACTGTGTTATATTTGGCATTTTTCATAGATACAACTAAGAAAATGGAAATAAATTATGTGCTTTTGTAAAAGACTACTAGTAACAAAGTGTCAAAAAAAAATATACTGCTGATACTGCCAAGAAGTCCTGTTCATTGAGCTGATAAGACCTGCTTGTACATTTCTGTCATCTTGTGTTGTATTTTGTTGTTTATCATCAAATAAAATGTGTCAGGATGATGACGTGCCCAAAGTCTTTTTGGACCACAAAACAGAAATTTCCCCTTAAAAGACATAAAGATCTGCTCATGTTTTCACAGGTGGACTTCGAGGCAGCAGCCCAGTCAGTAATGATGGAGACGCTACGGGAGGTCAAAAGGTTAAGACCCAAAGCATTATGGGGCTTTTCCCCTTACCCTAGCTGCTACAATAGCGACCCAACTCAAACCATGTTAGCCAATTACACCGGCCAGTGCCCCCCTGCAGAGATGGCTCTTAATGACGAGCTTTCATGGCTATGGAAACGAAGCTCTGCCCTCTACCCTCTCCTCACCCTGGAGAAGCTGCAGGTCAGTAACTTTTCCACGTGTATGTTTTAAGTGAACAGTTTTATTTGCTTGTAATTGCTATTATGTATTGCTATTATGACCCACCTTTATTTGTATGATAAAACTATGATAATAGAAAACATTGTGTTTAGGGAGCACTGAAAACCTAATCACTGTCATGTGTACTTCAGCTTGTCTGTCAGACAAGCAGAGGGAAAACTAGAGAGAAGAGAACAAGTCCCAAAAACTGTTCTCCAGCTCAGTTTCACTTCTTGGGCTGTCAAAATCTACCCGACTGTAGAAAGGCAGCTCCTAGTGTAAAACCAAAAAAAGAAGAAGGTCATGTCTGGTTTGAAACCTTTTACCTGTCAGAGTTAATGCATGCCAACATCTCTGTGAGCTCAGAGATACAGTACCGAGAAGAGCCAAAAAAACCTGAGTGTTTTTGCATTTGACAAAGACCAACCAGTTTCAATTCTAAAACGCTGCACAGTAAACACATGTCCATGTCAAGAAGAAACCTGGAAAAGGAGCTTTGATCACCACAAGATGACACCGTTTATTTCTGTTAAAAGTGTGTGCATTATGTTTGCTTTTTTATAGAGTGGGACACCTGGAGCCAGACTTTTTTTATCCAGTCAAATAAAGGAAGCACTACGAATATCTTCTGCAAGCGGGGCAGAGTTCGACCTTCCAGTATTTCCTCTTGTTAAGAGTGTTTATGCCTCAACTAACACTTTTTTATCACAGGTAAGACATAAGATACAATGATATACACTTGTAGTGCACAGCAAACATATTTTACTTAAATAGTCAAGCAAAACATAAACAGATGAAGTGCAGAAGTTAATTCCAGTGACATATTCCAGTTTAAAATGTAATCTCAGAAAATGTGTTTTCTGTTGCTTCACAGCTTCCTTATGGGATTATGATTCATGGCTTAATAAACAGATAGTTCCACTGTAATATACACTGAATATTACAAAGCCATTGCATTGACCTTTCATGGCTTAATTTATTGCACATTTTCTTCGTCTTTTTGTTACAGGCTGATCTGGTCAGCAGCGTAGGAGAAAGTGCTGCCATGGGAACAGCAGGAGTTGTCGTGTGGGAGAGAAGTGAGACTAAAACAGAGGTACACACTGTGCATAAAGACCACAGCATGCTCTGCACCCTCATTACTTCTGAAAAATGTGGGACACTGTGTGAAATATAAATAAACAGAAAACAGTGATTTGCAAATTTCATAAACCCATATTTTACTTCAGTAGAACATAAAAATATGTCAAACTGTGGAAATTAAAAAAAACAACATTGGCTCAGTTTAAATGTGATGGCAGGGGTGAGGGCAGCAAACGTCTAGAAAAGGGAAACATTAGGTTAATTAGGTAAACTGGCCACAGGTCAGTAACATGATTGGGTATAAAAAGAGCATCTTAGGTCTTAGAGAGGTGGAAAACATTCCACAGCATAAAACTGTGAAGACTTTTAGTATCGAATCATCTACAGTACATAATATCATCAAAAAGAGTCCAAAAACTTTGAGAAATGTGTGGGTGGAAGGGACAAGACCAAACATCAGTACTGGATGGTCATAATATTTGGGCCCTCACACAACCCTGAATTACAAACAGGCTAGATTCTGTCATGGAAATCAGCGCATGGGCTCAAGAACACTTCCAGAAATCATCGTCCGTGAACACAGCTCACCCTGCCATCTACAAATCCAGGTTAAAGAGATATGTGAGCACAATCCACATATCCTCTCCAGGCCAAAGCTCATTTAAAATGGACTGAGGGAAAGTGAAAAACTCTTCTGTGGTCAGAGGAATCGAAAATCTGTGTAGAAAAAATGGCTTCTGTCCTCGGGAATGAAAAGAAGCAGAACAATTCAACTTGTGATCAGCACTCAGTTCAAAAGCCTGCATCCCTGATGGTATCAAAATTCTGCTCTTGCTCTTGACGAAGGCGGTCGCACTTTTCTCCTCTCTTCCCTTCCCTTAGCTTCCCTGCTTAGCCTCTTGTGTCCTTGTCTAGTCTCGTGTTTTTTGTATTACTTTTCCCTGGAACACTCTCTCACAGTGGATTTGATCAACTGGTCCCTGAATGCAATTGACACCCCTTTCTCAATGAGAAGTTTGGGCTTGGGTGAGCCTGAGTGCTGAAGATATCTACCTATTCGGAACCATGATAACAGGGTTCTTGCTGATCGGAGCTGGCTTGGCCCTGACTTATGGAAGAATTAAGAGAGCGGAACCGGCTGTTCAAACCCCCACAAGGCTGCCCGCTGGGACTGAAACGATGGGACGAGGCGTGAGTTTCTCAAAATGGGCTTATTGAGTCAGCACAGATAAGATCTTGGAGAAGCTTACGGCTGCCGTGAATACTCAGAATAAGACCTCTGAGTGCAAACTGGATTACATCTTGGAGGGGCTCGCTCGGAATAACACCTCTGAGCGCAAATTGGATGACATCTTGGAGAAGCTCACTGCAGTCGTGAGTTCTCAGAATCAGCTCTTTGAGCACAAGAATGACAACATCACGGAGTGTAAGTTTGATAACATCATAGAAAGCTCGCGGCTCTCCAACGGGAGATTGAGAGACCAGTGTCGGACTGTTAGAACAGCTTTGAAATTCATGAGCTGTTTGCACTAACGTAAAAACCACCATCACTTCATACGGATACCCCTTTGGCGCCAGCTGCGGTCTCAAGGCTGGAGCTGAACAACAACACCCTGATAATGGACTGTGTTTAGACTGTTCTTCCCATTCTATGCAAGGCCACCTGGGTTGGCTGGAAGACTAATGTGGGACTAATAAAGGTATATCAAAGTATGGGGGTGCATTAGTGATGGGAGCTACAACCCTAAATCAGACACGAATAAGACAACATTCCTCTCCGGCAACTGGTCTCCTCGCCTCCCATATATTTTTATGTTTGCATTTCAACTTTTGTGGTCTGCTACAATGCTTAACTTCATAAAGGAAACTTTAAGAGAGTTTCGTCCATTTTCCTTTTTATATCAAACTGCCTCTCTTTTTCCAGAGAGAGTGCCAGGAACTGGCTGAGTTTGTCCGTAAGGTCCTGGGACCCTACTCCATCAACGTTACCACAGCAGCTCGACTCTGCTCAGCCTCCCTTTGTCAAGGAAGAGGTAGATGTGTCCGTCAAAATCCAGAAAGCTCTGCCTATCTCCATCTCCCACCTCCATCCACAGTGGCTGAAAAGGTGAGAAAATACTATTTAAAGCCATTTAAACTTCAGCTTCCTGCATGTCAGGAATGAACTATGTAGTAGTCGCAGTGAAATCATGTTTGTGGAGAAGGCTGACAAACACATTGTGGTACCAGAGGCTATATAATAAAACCAAGATTTCTACAACTGATTCACAAAGTCTGCTTACTGTAGTTTACAGGGACGCAGTGATGCACGCTCCTAACCTGCTGCATGTTTGAAAAGTTGGAAACATAAAAGCTAATTTTGAAGAAGAAAATTTTAAAGTAAACCAGGTATGCTTTATCAGGGGGAATATAAACTAATCTCAGAGGGAACAAAAACAGCAGGGAGTTTGACCGCTTGAGGATATTCTGTGTTCAACAGACAAGAAGACGGCAGCTAAGATGCAAAGGAGGTGGATGCAGTGGAGTCTGATCCTCCACAGCAGGAACACCGTGTTATTTCTCTGTAAATGACTAGATCAGGATTTCACAACACTCAGTACACACGGTTAGGTGCATACACCTAATGGCAATTATGCTTTTTTGTAGTTTTTCCTCTGCTCACCATAACATTGGATTTTAAATCAAACAATCAACACGTGATTGAAGTGTAGACTTTCAGCTTTAGTTCAAGGGTTTTCGAAAAATTTTGCATTAACTTCATTAATATGAAGCACAGCTGTTTTTATGTATAGCCCCCATTTTCAGAGGATCTAAATCAAAAGGTTAGACTAATGTAATTTTAAATATTATATTAATGATTGTTTTTAACACTTGGATGAAAATCAGTTGGAGTCTGAATACTAAAATCCATGTACATTACCCAGCGCTGGGATTCCTCCCTTGAGATGCTGTTATCTTTTTACTGCAGCCATCTTCCACTGCTGCTTGTTTTAGACTGTCTGTATTCAGTTTATTCCTCCGTCGCTGAAAATCACGCTCTGTTGGCTTGAGATCAGTTGACTGACCTGTTGCTTAAAGAATGTCCCATTTCTTTGCCTTCAGAAACTCTTGGGTTGATTTTGCAGGACGCTATGGGTCATTGTCTATTTGCACTATGATGCGCTGTCTGATCAGTTTCTCTCCTTCTCCACACTTTTCTCTTTCCATCATTGGGAAGAGAAAAGTGTGGAGAAGGTGTCAAGGTTTGTTAGCTTCATCTGAGTCTGCATGCTTCTGGGGGGGGGGGGGATAGGCAAACCTTTTAAATGGTTCCTGGCAAAGTCTGACCTGAGCCTTCTGGTCTTGAGTGCAACCAGTGGTTTGTGCATTCGTGAAGGTGTCTCTTGAGTGGGCCTTCACAATGATGTATCTACCTCCTCAAGAGTGTCCCTTACTTCATTAGATATTGTGAAGGAGTCTTACTTAACCTGGGAAGTAATTCTGCCATCATCGTTTTCAGTTGGCTTCATGATTTTTAAGGCGTTGCTGAGCTGGCTTGGGCATTGGCTTCTTTTTAAAAATGTAGCAAATTGTTGATTTGGTCACTGCTTAAATATTTGTTAGCTCTCCTTTGTTTGTCTCATATTGACAGTTTCAGTCAAAAGCTATCAAGTAAAAGGTCGAGACTTGGAAATGCCTTCAAATCTATTGTCTGATCTATTGAGTAGTTCTTAAAGTGCAGAAAACTTTAGACTAATACTCCAAAAAACTGAAATATTTCCTGTGAGAGTAAATATAGTAGTGTTTGTTACTGATAACATAATTCTCTGCCATCAGTCTCAGGTGGAGGCAGCGAAAGCCACGGATCTGCCGGACACAGACACTAAGACAGCTGAACCGGATCCAGCTGAAACCTGGAAGAAAGACTTCCAGTGCCAGTGGTATAAGACAGAAGACCAGGATGTCTTAGACCTGCAGTCTCCCAAAGATGGAGTGTCTCTTGGAGGAACACTGGAAGCAAATGCTGGAGGTGTAACAGAGACTACAACAACTGCCGCAACAAAACGTGCCTCTGTGACAGAATTTAGTGGGAGTAGCACAGCTGGTACTGGAATTCCAGCACCTTCACTGGAAGCATCGACAGATAAGGGTACCAATCCCCCGAGTGCCCCAAGCATCACCGTTTTGCTGTTGCTGGTGGTTGGAAGCCTAAGCCTGGAACCTTAAATTTTGAACTGAACAGCCTTCCTCTTGGAGGACTGCATCAAAACCACACGTGTGAGCCCTTCTGAAGTGCCCTTGAGCAAAACATCCAAACCCTGCCAGGTGCAGACGATTAACCAAGTGTGTGATCTGAATGGTGCATCATTAAGAAAAGGACAAACTATGACCAGAGCTGAGGGTGAAGACCTACCACTGGTTGTGCCAACAGATTCAGGTTACACTGACTGGTTGGATTTAAAGAGAAATGACTAATAAGCCAGAAAGTCATCCAACCTCGCCACGCACTGGTAACGTTTGTAAAACTGCTTTGAGGTTTGTCCGTGCATGTGTGTATGGCCAGAGAAGGCCCAAAATACTCTGGCTCCCCTTGTATTTCAAGAAATGCGTCATGTTAAAGGGCTGGTTCAAAAAGAAATGTTTTATTTTATCATGAAATAAAAGAACAGAAGAAACCACACAAGCACACACAAATGTCAGTGACTGATTTCATATGCATGTAGCGAAGGCTGCTGTTAGTTACAAGTGTAGATGATCCATGGTAACGGTGCCTGGGCAATAAAACCAAAACTATTCACATCCCTGAATCATGGTCCAGGTAAGTGAAATGTCACGTTCTCTTATTTTGGGAAGCTCAACTTTGAATCTGCTTTTAACAGGGAGTTTATTTAAAGCTTGGCATGAAGAATTTAAATGCAAATTTCCTACACAATGAATGTGTGTCATCCTTGGGCTACATATTTACCATATTAACACACACACACACAAAACTCACTTAAGCTTTACATATCATAAATGTTAATACTGCTGAGATGCAGCACATATTTTCTGAGTGCTCTGGCCTCCTCTGCCTGAGTTCTGCAGGAACTACACCACTCCACACTGGGAAACCGTCACTGTAGGAAAAGCTCAGTTGTAAACAATAAAATGAGTGAAGGCACAATTCTGGTTTGCCATTTCAATTTCAGGGTCACTGGATTTCAAATCTGGGCTCAACACCACATTTTCATGGCTTACAAAGAAAGCAGTAAACGCAGTACTCCAGACAAGCTGCAAATTCATATACTGTGCTGTGCTGTCCTGTGAAACTGAAGTACACTTGATGATCCAAGAGCTTGTACAACCATCTTTAGATAATCTAAAGAAATCATTTTTTGTGTGACTCTCACATTGTTGCAGAGGAATTTTGTCCCACTCTTCAATACAACCTCGCTTCAGTTCACCAATGGTTTGGTTTTATGCACAGCTCTCTCGAGGTCCTGCCAAAGCATTTCGAAATCTGCAACGCTCTCATCAATGGATGGGTTTTTCTCTTTTTTTCAGCATTTCTTTCACAGGTTTGTTGCTGTGCTTCACATCATTGTCCGTGCACGACCCAACTCTGACATTTGACTCTAGAATACTTTGGTCTCGGATTCCGTGGCTGCAAAACAAGCTCAAATCACCATCCCTCCACCACCGTGCTTGGCAGTAGGTATGGGTATGCTGTGGTTGGATTTCACCAAACGTGGTGCTGTGCATTATAGCCAAACATGTCCACTTCGATCTGGTCTATCCAAAGGACATTGTTCCAGAAGTCTGATTAGTCTTTTTCTAACTGTGGGGTCATGAACTTGAAAAATTAAGATGTTAACTAAGGCCTGTAGAGTCTGAGTCAGAACATATCACACAGTTACTTTGGTTGAATCTGCTGGGACGTCCATTCGTGGGAAGGTGAATAATCTTTCTCACTGTAGAATGATGGACTTTAAATTGTTCGCAAGTGGCTTTTTAACCCTTTGCAGACTGATGGGCAGCAACAATTGCTTCTTTACTTTACTTCACTGCTGATGTCTTTCCTCCTGACTGCTACTTACACTCCTAAGTCCTCTGACAGCAGTAAAGATTCATTTTTAATCACAGGACTGTAACAGAATACTGGAGGTGGTATTCTGTTTATAAAAAAAAAAAAAAAAAAAAGCTCCAGATGTTTGGGTTTTTTGCAGCTTCTGTAAATTTATTTTTCAATAAAATATACAGTCAAGACAAAGGGTATCTAAATCATTTTAGTTACAGAAAGAGATCATATGTACACAGGTGCCTCTGATTGTAAAACAGAATTTAAAAAACAAAACAAGAAAATGACATTTCCTCTCTTACATCACAGCTCTATGATGTTTCTCTTGCCTCAAATATCTAGTCTTCCAGTAACATTTTTTTTAAACTTTACACTCTCCTACAAAACAGCATTTACATCTTTACACACATGTACTGGTATATGTCAGTATAACTGAGGGAACCTGGATGAATATTAACTTTACTATATACCTTGAAATTTTAATAACATTTCCTGGCTAAAATCCTTTCCAACGAGGTTCAAGGGACGTAATTAAGAAACCAAAGAGTAGTTTTACACAAACAGCCATCATAACCAATTGAATGTATTTTTTGGTTTGATCTTTACCGCACTGATGAAAACAAGTGTAGAGCGGCATAGAGGGGCACGTTTTGCAGAGTTAATGCGCTGCTCTGAGCTCCACATCCACATATGACATTTCGTAAAGATGTTTGAAAGTGATTTAATGGCTGAATTAAGCTTCAATATTATGTTCAAGATTAAAATGTATACTTACCTTACTTACAGTATTGCTCAGACAACATTTTAGATTAAAAATGACTTCAGTATTTGGTTTGGATCAATCTTGAAACGCTACTGACAAAAATGTATGCAGAGTCCAGTGTAAGACAACCAAAACAAGACTCCTCATTCCAAATGACATCTATAATAAGGTTCGCTCTTAGAATGAAGATCTTCAACACATACTCTGATCTAGATTAATCCTACAAGTGCAATTACAGCAGACATTTCATTAAATTAAGAAAGGCTGGGAACAACAGCAGGGCGACGCTGCACTCACTGGCTTTATCATTGGGTAAATTAATAAATGCTTAAGTAAACCACCTTAGCTCACATCCACAGGCGGTAGCTCTTTTTTGTTGTAACACTGTGTCCACTGTGCTGACATTATAAAAAGTTGCACAACAGTTTATCTGCTGTCTGAGTAATTTCACTCCAACCCTTCGGTGCAATCAAAAGCCAGAACTGTGAATCAAAATTAATTTTTAGCATTTGATTTTCCATGTTTCAAACACATTTATTAAATGCAAAAGTACCCATCTTCACCAAAGTAAAACAGAAAGCTACAAAACCTCCAACTTGAGTCATTCACCACGTTTAGCAGCTGATTTAAGTCCAAAGCTGGCAAAGCCCTCACAATCATTCTTCAAGAGCAGTTTAATGGATTTAAAATGTGTTTTTGAATGGAGCAAATTCTAATGCATAAATCATTTCTTTAAATTGGGTGAACAGGAACCTAACCAAACACGATACAATTAATGACACTGAGCAGTGTTTTTGTAGTTACTCGCCTGGAAATAAAAAGACTTTCAACAGCTTTAGATTTCACTGGAAATCAATCTTCGCTTTTTTTTCTCTCGTTATTCTCAGTTTTGTGTGGCTGCAGTGGTTAATTTTTCTAAGTGGTTTCAGTCAGAGCTGCATAGAGTGTAAAGTGTTTAAACCTTGGAAATCGAGTTGTAACAATGTGCACATGAATCTTGTTTTATAAAGCCACATTGAGTCACGACTTTAATCACGAGGGGGACAGACTGGAAAAAAGAAGACTGCACACTGATCTGAGCCCTTGGTTTGTGTTTGATGACAAGATGAGATGTTATCTCTGGCTACAAGTTATGGAGGCATGCAAGTCATGAATTTACTTAATCCAGTCAGTCTCTTGGGTTGCTAATGTAAGCTAGCCATCTCAGCACAAACAGTGCTAACGAGAATGAGATGAGACATTCAGTCCTGCGTGTGCTCAAAGTTACAATGCTTTTATTTTTAAGTTACGCACAATTATGCTGCCCCTTGATTGTGTTTTACAATTTAGCCTATCAGATGCACTTTACTTAGTTTTACAGTTTTATAGGATGTAAGAATTTAGGTTCTCAAGATGTGATGCAGCTGAATAATGAAGAATTAAAATCAGGAGATCAACGTCAGTATCCAGCCTTATAAATGGCATCTAAAAGTCAAAGGAAATTAAATACCTGAAGCTGTTAATATTACACGTAATATTTAAAGCCACTGCGAAGGCTGCACAACATATTTTTCCAGTTATGTACTCAACATCATCTTGGACTGCACTGACAGAGTACGGACTGTACTGGTTCCCAGTGGCACAAAGTTTCAGTGTTTTTGAACAAGCACGCATGCTGAGGAAACTGAAAACACACAAAACACATAAGGACAAACAGACATGACACAACTGTAATTTCACTTGCAGTGAAAGAATCTGACCCTTGTTGCATAAGATTAAAAAATAGACTTTCTGTTCCTGTGCAAAAGTCACCGCCTTCTGAGCAGTTTATTATTGCCTCTCCAGTGGCAGAGAGACGGAGAACGAAACATCACCTCCATGTGGGGAACAGAGGTTAGTGCAATCTGAACCAAGCAGGCTGGACGGAGACCAATTCACTCCTTTTAGACGGTGAAGTGAAAAAACAAAACACAAAAAAGAGCCCATTATCCCACCTTCTTTAAAGATCTGTCCATGTGCATGTGTCCACGGTACAAGTGTCTCTAAAATTGGTTAATTTGTGAGATTTTGTTTCTTGACAACTTGGATAGCGTAAATGTTGTGAAAAGGAAAAAGCTCAGCCTGAAGAGCGAAATAAGCACAGTTCATCTGAGATCTCACAACACAAACATGAGGAACGTCTAAGCCAGTCCAGAGGAACTAGGAGTGCCAATAATCCAACATGCCGAGCAGCAACAGTTCCCGGACTCCACGGGTGTCTTCGCTGCAGTATGTGTGTGTGTGCTACCTGCACATGGGTGGGTGGGTTGCACACATGCGCCTGATGCTAGACCTTTGCATCTGGGATGTTTGTTTATGGTGTTACTTGCAAATTGCCTCCAGAGTGTCAAGGGTGCGTTTGATATCGCGTATCTGCGTAGCCAGGTTGTGTATGGGCTGCATGGAACGATCCAACTCCTCGCAGCGAGCCATTAGTGTATACATGCCCTGTGGAGGCAAAAACATGGACGACAGAATTTATCAGAAAAGGAATAATTTGTACTTTAAAAAAATAATGTGAGGGGGTTTCCCACTGTGGTCCTGATTTAAGGTTTTTCCTCATTAACAGTTTCTTTTCAGGTTCACAAGTTAGGAATGCCTTATGTTAAATCATATTTCTGTAAAGTGACCTATCATGTAGCGACTACAATCCAAAATCCAAACCCATAAACAAAACTTGTGTCCAAGGAAAATCCAGCAAAATGACACAAGCTGGGCTATCACTATTATTTAGCTAATTAGGTAGTAAATGTTTATAATGCATGCTCTGGTGGACCCAGCAAACAGCAATCTTTACTTGTCACATTATGTGAAAGGAACAGAAATTACATGTCACCTTTATACTCATATCTACAGACTCTCCCAGGCTGTCCACTGAGTCTCTGTAGGTCTGGATATACCCCACACTCAGAGCTGTCATCTGTATAAAAGAGATGGTTAAGAGAGAGATTAAAGAATAGCACAAAAACAAAAGGGGAGAAATAAAATAGTAACATAAAACATGAAGACCCTGCAATATATCTACATACACCCTCAGCAGTGCTATTACAGGGTTAGACCCCTTTTAGCCTTAAGAGCAGCATTAACTCTTAATGGCATAGATTCAACAAGGTGCTGGGAACATTGATGTCAACATGAAAGCATCACAAAGTCGCTGCAGATTTGTTGGTTGCACATCCATGATGTGAAAGATGCTCTTTGGATTGATATCTGGTGACTACAGTGAACTTGTGATATGAGGTGTTGATGGAAGGCAGGAAGCTTTTATGTTGTTTATGTCAAATTCTGACCCTACCGTCTGAATCCAAAGCAGAAATCGAGACTCATCACCAGGCAATGCTGTTCTCAGCTGACATCAGTGACACCCATCCTCACCTTAAACTACTACGTAATACACAGACTTCAATGACGTGTACGTGTTACACTTCTGACTAAGACGACAGCATAAACAGGGTGATTTGAAGAAAGAACTACTAAGACTCACATTTTGGATGGTTCCATTGAGGCTCCTCATCATCACCTCCACACTGTGTGCCACTTCCTGGGTGTGTCTCTGAAGGTCCAAAAGGACGGTGGGATCAATGGGTGGTATATCCGCTGGTCGCCGTGTCAACCCTCGACTTCGGTAAATAGGACCCGAACAGTCCGCTAGTGAGAGTTATCATAAATTAGATATACAATATAGAATAGCTAATATAGAATATACTTTTTTATATAAGCCATTAGCAGAATTATCTATAAAGTGCAAAATTATGGACACTGGAGGAGGAGATAAGCATATGCCTTCTGACTGAAATGCAGTGAACCAAATTCTAGTCGGACCTGTAGGGTGCAAAATTAAACTATAACTACAGTGAAGAAGGAAAAAAAAAAAAAAAAAGAAACACTGAATAAAATGAAACATTCTTATTTGACTGTTTCTCAGAAATTGAAACAAATTACACACTTAGCCAAGAGTGCCATGAGTAATTAAACCTTGGATTAAACAAACCCCAGTCAATAAATTGGAATTTAAAAACAAAAACAGTTTCAACCTCTGAAAAGTTTCTGTCGGGCTGTGGCAGGACCTTTAAGAAATCCCTTCAGTCTAAACGAGGTCTGTGCGTCATCAATCTTAATTGAATCAGCAGGTAGAGAGAATGAGCTGCCACAGAGGACATATTGACTGTGGCCCTGTGTTTAAATTGAGAGGCCAGTTTAGCTGACACTCTCATCCAGGGGGGTTTCTGAGTGAAGGGCAGGGGCTCTGTGTCTTACTCCAGCAAAATCTGACAAGACGGATGGCTGCTAATGCACAAGCTCTGCCAGGTCG